AATAAATATTAGTTATTTTATCAACTATTAATTAATAATTATAATTTTTAATTATTTTTAATAAAATAATCAATACACTTTTTGATTCAATATATTAGACAACACATATATTAGACAACACATACTGATTTAACAACTAAAATTTGCAAATTTTAGTTTTTTACCTTTAATTCAAATTTGAAAATAATAATTCCTTAATAAGTTTATTTCGTAATATGTTAAATTAGAGTATAAATCAATCTTAACCATCATATCAAGTAAAACTAATATTTTAAAAGACAAAATTTTAAAAATTACATGATTATAACATTTTCTTGTGTGGCAATCATCATGCCCATAACTTATAGAATCCTTGCCAATAACTTATAGTGTTCAGAGAGATTACAATTGGGCAATTATGAGTGCTCTTGGTTTTTCTTGGCAATGGGTTGATATGGTCATGCAGTGTTGTGACTTTGGCTGAATACGAGATCCTACTGAATGGTAACGAGAGATTGGCAGGGTGGTTCCAACGAGAGGTTTACGTCAAAGTGATTCACCTTAACCATATTTATTTATAATCTGTGCAGAGGGATTAATAGCATTGATTAAGGGTGTGAAAAGGTGTAGGTTGCTTCATGAGATTAAGGTTTGAAGAGGTGCTTCAATGGTCTTCCATTTGCATTTTGTAGATGAAATTATTTTAATTTTTTTATCTGGTGATTAGGAATTATGTTCTTAATTTGTGGTTAAAAACACCGCCAGAGTTAGGAGGTTCTGGGATCTAAACTTTTGAAAAATTATTAATATGGTTCACCAATTTTTATTTTTTTATTTTTTCGTTGATTTTTATTTATTTTATACAATTCTAATTTGCTTCTATATCAATATTTCATTTTGCCTCCCAAATTATTTTTTCTAACTTCTCCACTTATTAAGAGTCTATATAACTCTATTATTAGATCACATTACCAAGAGTCTCTTCTTGTTTTAGTATGGAACGTTACATGGAAGGTGGTTTCGCACAAATGTTAATTATCAATGTCATAATTGTATAATTTATAAGTGTTTCATTAGGCGTAACCCCCCTAAACCCCTCTAACTATTTGTTTTTTAGACCATTAGCCTTTTAATATGCACTTAGTGTGTTTTAGTCCATAGAATTCACATTATTGTTATAATTGGTCTAAAATAAGTAGAATCTCATCACATCATGAGTTACGTGGCCATCTCTACTCCATTACTTTATCTTCATTAGCACCATGCTTGCATAAATATGGTCAAAGTGGAAGCAAGCAAAATCCCGTCTATGATGAGAATAACCCATTTGTGCTTTGGGCAGGATTTGTCAACCTCCATGGGTCCAAGTGAACCATATTTATGACAAGGATAGTGATTGATACATACTCGATTCAACACACTGCATAATATGTTTTTAAAAAAAATATTATTTCTTATTTTGAAATTTAAGGCATACAAGTTTAAAGATACAATCATACGCATAAAATGCAAGAATCGGCTAAATCAATTATATTTATATTATATTTTTAATAGTTGAACTATAAATATATTAAAAAATATATTGAATCGAGTATGTACCAATCATTGTCTTTGTGCCAAAATAGTGCTGATGAAGATAAGGTAACAGAGAAGAGATGGTTACGTGACTTAAGGGCTGGAATTTTGTCTTTTTTAAGCCGATTACAATAATAACGTGAAGTTTATAGGTCAAAACATAGAAAGTAGATGTTAAGGGACCAATAGTATCAAAAACAAACAATTAAAGGGGTTCCGGGGGTTAAGCCATTCCATCATTGATGCACATGTACCTTATACAGAAGTACAGTGTACAATTTCAAATTTCTTATTATAAATATATTTATATAAATTGTATATACATACGGGGAAGGTGCCTATCTAAATTATTCAATATAATATTACTTCAATAATTTTAATTTTAAAATATTAAAATAACCTTTTTTAAGCATGAGTTAAGCTATTTTTGATTTTTTATAATATTTTATTAAAATAACATAAT